CGGTGCATTTGTGATGGGAAAAGTGGATTTCTACTCTAAAATTTGTTAAACTTTTTCGACGATTCCGAATTTTTCAAAATTGAAATGTTATTCAGAAGATCTGAAACTTGGAGTTCTCGGCATTCCGAATATTACTACGGTTTTTAGAAACCTCGCTTCAAAATTTGTTCTGAAACTTCTCGTGCCGGTGTTTGTACCTAATGCAGAACAATTGACAATCGAATGCAACATTTAAAAACATGTCATAAAGTTTTTATACTAAAAAAAGAACTAGATCAACAAAAATTTGTGCTATAGTAATTGAGAGGGGACGTAATACACAATTTTTCAATTTCGGCTTCATTTTTCGGATACCTTAATCGGAGGGAAACTTTATCAACCTGAAAAAAAATTGTGCCCTTCTCTCCCTCAACTACTATAATACAAAAAATTATAACTACACACAAAATGTTTTTTTAAAAACTAATAAAAAAGAAACAGAAACGGTTGAAAATGCATAGAGAAAAAAAAACAAAAAAGAGGGTTTCAGAAACCAGTGTGGTGTGAAAACTGGTTTTATGGACTGTCTACTATAAAATTCTACAACTAAACAAAGACGTAAACATGAAGAAAATGAAGAAAACAGAAGATGAAGACGATTGTTGTTTAGAATTTCCTATCCGTTTGAGACAATGCTAGCTTTATCAATTGCTCGGTAGACTCGTTACGATTGGGAAGGGATGATGCCTGTAACAGAAAATATGAATTGGACTCAAAAACACATATTCAAGCTCACCATTTCCACGGCTTTTTGCGAATACGCGTCAATCAACTGTCGCGTTTTGTCCATTCCATCTGAATTCATGACGATGTCGCGTGCTCTTTCAGCATCGCCTTCGTGCTTGAATTTTCTGAGAAGCATTGTAGTGAGCTCGGGGTACTGCTCACATGCGTATAGAACTGGTGCGGTTGCAAGACCTGAATTTAGATGAGAAATGTTTCAGTAGAAAACTAGAAAATCAGGCACTCTTTGTCTACACCACTCTTTGACTACACCTACTCTTTGACTCCACATTATCTTTGACTACAAAATCTCTTTGACTACATTTATCTCTTCGACTACACTTGTCTCTTTGACTACAAAGTCTATTTGACTACACTTTTTTGTTTTATAGTACTTTTTGACTGAATTTATTGGAGTTTCCGATTTTTGTCTCATATTATAGGCTTACCAGTTTTCCGGTAACCGTTTCAGCCTAAGCCTTTGATTTGACAGAAAATAATAAAATTTTGGAAATCTCAGCGGAGAAAATTTAAAAATTTTTTAAAGTGTAGTCAAAGAGACTTTGTAGTCAAAGAAACTTTGTAGTCAAAGAGACAAGTGTAGTCAAAGAGATAAATGTAGTCAAAGAGAATGTGGAGTCAAATAGTGGTGTATTCAAAGAGTAATTGCCAGAAAATCACCTAATTTCAAATCAGCAGCAACTGGTTTGCCCATTTCATCAGACGTAGCAATGAAATCGAGAAGATCATCGGCTAATTGAAAAGCTATACCTAGATTTCTACCGTATTCATATGCAGTTTGATGGAGATTCGAATTTGATGAATCTGAATCTTTTTTATAGATACACGCAACAAACAACTGTGATTACCTGCAAGAATGGCAGTTGACCGACAACTGCTGGCAAATAAACTGGCAGTTTTTCGATGAGTCTTTTCAATATATGCGACCATTCTCTGTGATGGAGTTGCTTCTGAAGGCGTTACAGACATCTGCATGAATTCTCCCTACAATTTATAATTTTGAAGATTTCAAAGAGTATAAATAACTGACCAAAACTAGGTCTTCAATGATTGACGCCATAACTGCAATGACGTTAGGCTTTCCGATTGAACAGAGAATCTGAGTAGCTCGTGCCAAAATGAAATCACCAACAAGTACAGACATTTTGTTTCCCCAAACAGCATTGACACTTGCAGATCCTCGTCTTGTATTCGCTTCATCAATGACGTCATCATGAACCAAAGATGCTGTGTGGATCATTTCCGCTGTAAAATTGGAACTTTAGTTAAAGGAAAATAGATGATAAGAAAAATACATTCTAATAGAAAAACAATAACCAAAACTGGTCTAGAATATAAACACATTTCAAATTAAGCTTACCAATCATACCAATTTTGTATTGGTTCTGGCACACGATCAAATGAGAAGAAATGGCAGATCGTTCGGAAATCGGTATTGCAATTTGCTCTTCTCTGGAAAAAAGGAAACTCAAAGATGTTGAAACTAGAATATTTTCATACGGAATGGATCGATTCATAGCGGAATTACAAGCGTTTCCCATTAGTAAGGATACTGTAGGTCGCAACATTTTTCCACCCTGAAATATCGAATTTCTTTTGAGGAAACTGGTAGTTTTAAAACCTGTTGGAAATAATAGTGTGTCATCCGTCCTAAATTAGAGGTCACATTTAAATCAGCGAGATTCTCAACTGCACCTGATGCATCTTGTGGTATTAACTGTTCCATTATGTCGTTCTGAAATGTTCAAATTGTAATTTCGAAGAATTATAAAAATTTATTCGAACCTGCATTTGCCTAACATGATCCTGAACAAATGCCGAGGAAGCTAAGCTTGGGTCGGAAGATGATACTGATGATGTTGCTGTCATTGAACATTTCCTGGAAGCGGTTTTTTTATTAGGATGTACTGTAGGACATATAAATTACCTGAGTTGGCGAACAGCAAAATTAATTTTTGGAAGTACACCCATTTCTGTATTTTTGATTGATACCTAACTTGTATTCACCAGTTTCTGCTTCGCCAGTTTTCAAACCGAATTTCCCCGACTCATGAAGTTTGATGTTCTGAAAAATAAGGAGGTATGAATTTTCCTAACAGTGCAGTAACACTGTCAGGAAAACTAATGATGCAAAGATATCGGTTGAAAACTTAATGTCAAACTCTTTAAATACAACTGATAATAATATTTGCCTTCCAGGAAAAATGATCAATTAGGAATAAGTGATGATTTCTGAATATTGGGAAACAGTAAGAAACGGCAATGACTATAGTTTAATCACTCATAAATGTGGGATTCCAAAAGAAAAAGTAGGTAAAAAATGATCAAGAAGATGGAAGAAGAATGTAGCCTCCTCCCATCTCTTTTCACCGCCGAAAATCACTTTTCTTCTCTGCGCTTTCTATTTTCTTGTGTACTTTTTCTTCTTGTAGAGTGTGTTCTTTGAATTTCTTCTATCAGTTTTATTGTTTTTCGGTGTTTTTTTGCATAAGGAAAAATGGATATCCCTAGATGTTCGGTTTTTTTTGAAAAAGTAAACATATCGGACACAATCCATCTCCCGTAGTTTGAAAAAAAAAGAATAGAATCACAGATTTAGCAGGAAACAATCAATTATTCTTTATATCATAAAGAAAATATCAAATATCAAGAACTAGAAACAGAAAACCCATGCATCACAGATAAGGTGTAAAACGACTAAGATTTTTGGAGAGATAGTTAGAGTGAATAGAAGTGGGAGGGTTTAGAAAGGGAACTGATGAAGGTGTTTTGGAATCTAGAGGCAAAAATACTTTGAATCAAAAGATATAAGGAAATCGATGGGAACAATCAGGAAAAAAGACACTCGTAGGAACCAATAATTAAAACCAAAACAAATGGAAAGGCGACCGAGAAAAAACTGCTGAAAAGGGTCATGTCGAATTTATGTATAAAGCTCTGTTATAAAAAAAAGAAATGGAATGGAGGACTAGTTTAAAGTTCAGTCTTGTCAAGAATAGTGTATCTTGAAGATTGCGGCTTCAGCTTTTCGAATGTCGATGGTGGTGGCTCAGTGTCCGGAGCTTGATTTCCAGTCTGAAACGTCTTACGAAAGAGTTAATGTATTTTTCAGAATTTAGGACAACTTGGACTCAAACTTTTTGCCAAGATAAAATTCTCAGAAAAAAAAATTCATGAAAAAAAACATACAACTGGATCGGGTCCATGATGGAATTCCCTATGAAGCTTTCCACTGTGTAAATCGAGAACAAACTGACGAAGCTTTCCAGGAACGCTGTAAAAGCCGTCATTAATTTATTTCTCTCGAGATAAAACCAACTTGATATCTTCGAAATTTTTGAACAGGTACATGTGCCTGAAGGAATCAATAGCAATGACTGGAAGGTCGGATTCCGACTTTCCCAAATGACTGAGGGGATGCTTGAAAATGGTTCCGTCTCCAACCAAACAATTGATTGCTGAAAATGAATAATATTATTTTCTGGCTGAATTTCGAACCTTTTCTTTGATCTGGTAATTCTCTCAAAATGGCATCCGTATAGACCTTCTCGCTAACAACATCATCGGCTTTTTTGAAAAGAATCATGAATGGCAATCCTTCTTCTGTCAATTCCTCGGCGTTTTGGAATGTGATTTCACGAACAAGTGGGACACATTTATCAGCTACCCACTGCCTGAAATTCCCTCTCGCGTAAAAGATGAAAAGCTATATACTCACTTAAGGTATTCGTAAGTAGCGAAATCACCAGAGAATGGTACTTGGGATGGATTGATTGCTTTGTTGGATGGTTGGAAAACAAGTTTTGGTTGTTGACCGAGTCCAGGAGCTTCTCCCGGGAAGTTTAGCTCTCCGATTCCAACAATAAACTCGCATTCATCGCGGTAGAAAAGTGCCACTTTCAGAAGGTTCTTGTATTCAACGCTGTTTTCATCATTGAAATATCCGATGAACGTGCCTTTTTCTGGCTGAAATTCAGAGTTGTTGATTGGATTCTTACAAGGGAGCCTTTTAAGTGAAGGTAGGAGTTAGCAGAAACCACCTAGAAAGATCGAAAGAGCATAGTCGAAAACCTATAAATCCGTTTTCAAAGTCTGCTTACGAGATCTTTGAAATTCTGAAATTTCAGTTTCAGTGCCAAAAAAACCCATTTTCAGTGAAAAATCGGTAATTTTCAAATTTGATTTTCTCCACTCCTAGGAGGTCTTAGGACTTGAAATTTTTTGTGTAATACTCAAAACTATGTGAAATTTCACATTTCAAACATTTTCTGAAAAAAGTATTTTTGGAAAAGTTTGGAAAGTTCAAAATTTAAGTCCAA